CCGCGCTCCTTCCCCCGTTCCGCCCGTTTTAGGGTTTGGGGGTGGAGAGTGTGGGGGTGGCGGCTATGGGGGTGTCGGTTGTGAGTTCCTCCCCCTGCTCCTCCTCCTCCCTCGTCTCCCTCTGCTACAGCTGCCGCTGAGGGGGGTGGTGTGTGGGAGCCTAGGGTTTGGGGTTTAAGGGGGGTACCGTCGGAGTGGAGCTAGGGGTTCAGCAGGGGGTGTGTGTCGAGGGGTGTGGGACAGTTGGAGGAGGTTGAGCGGAGGTCGCCGTCGTGTCGTCCGCAGCGCCTGTATTCCGGGGGTCGATTAGCCACCGGTAGCTCAGAGAGCCGGTTGCGCCGTCGCCTGTGGGTCCGTTGCTCCTGCCGTGCATATTAGCCGCGGAGCCTGTTACTCTTGTACTCCGGGGCACTCATTCCCGGTAGCCACGTTGTCGCACCAGAGCCGTCTGTTGCCCGTGTGTCTGCAGCTTCAGTCGTCGCCTCCTATCTACTCTCCTCTCGCCAGCCCTCCTCCTCCTCACTTGCCCCCTGTGACTGCCTCTAGCTTTGCTCATAATTGTGAACCTTAAACTATTGCTTCTTGCTTGTGCTCAGAATGTGTGGTGACATCGTGATCCACCCTGAGCTTGTACTGCTTTGTTTCCTCTGCTGATTACACCCCACTTTGGCTATGGGGGTGTGTCAGAATATTATGCTCTAGCCTGTAGTGGGGTGCTCTGTAGCGAGTACAACCCTTCTAGGGTTTGCTATTTGTATCCCCATTCTTGCTAGTTCACTCCTCTTTTGCCTAATTTTCTCGACAACAACGTGTTAATGAACAAGGTACGGTATGAAGTGTAGTGTGAATGCTTCAAGGTGAATGTTAAAATGTATCAATGCAGCAACAGAGATTGATGGGGTCGTTGAAACAGCGAAAACACGCTGCCCCAACGACGATGACAACCCCTAATTGCATACACGATGCATTGTAACACCACGCCTTGAAACACACACACCACAACCACGAAATGCACACAGAACAATGCACAACATCACGTAAAGATTGAGAACGCATCAAAGTCAATCAGCGAAGACACGCTGCCCCAACGGCGATGACAACCCCAAATTGCATACACGATTCATATTAACATCACGCCTCGAAACACAAACAACACGACACGTTAACATTAGTGAAACAGAACACGTAGAACGAGGATAGCACGTAATGATTGTGAATGCTTCAAAGCTAATGCTAAAATGCATAATTGCTGCACCAAAGGTTGATGGGGTCGTTAAAACAGCGAAAACACGCTGCCCTAACGACGATGACAACCTCTGCTGCATACATGAGGCAAGTTAACACAAGCCTGAAACAGACGCAACCCACCCACAACACGATAGGTATATAGACGTATAAGCTCGTGCAAACACACACGCATACGCATACACGCACACCCACAAGCATATGTAAGGCACGCATAAACACACAGTTGATAGTTAACTAAAAATCGTTTGAGTTTATGTAAAACTGCTTTTGCACGGCCTCAATCATTCCCTCTCCTTCCTTCTCCTTTTCCTTCCACACAATTTCCCATCTCGCTTGTATCATCCTTGCTTTTCTTCTCCAATCGATGCAAGGGAAATGAAGACGTTGTGCCTCACTGACCCTGCGCAGCATAACAAGAAACCAATAGTACGGGGAACAAAAAAAAAAAAAAGGAAATAACTTCGCGTAGAAAGTTTCACGAGTTGATAATTGGATCAATAAGCTTAACAAACCCACGTTACAATCAGCACTATATCGTTCACTAATCCAGAACCACCTATCAATATTGAATATGAGGATTTATGTTAAAAATGACGCTCTGTATCTAACCTGGTCGCCACGACGCTGGGCGAGTTTCACGGGTGTCGATGGAATGGCAGGTGGACCATTCGGCGCTTCACGTTTGTTGTTGTCGTTCACAGCTTCAACATGCTCCTCCTATGAATATCATCAAAAAAAAAAAAAAACATGCGCAAATTAACATCGATTTTTTCTTTGCATTCGTAAGAAAGGAAGATAATGTATGGCGTTATATCTCAAGCAATAATGGATTATGCACTTACCATGATGAATGCAGAGATCGTCCTGTCAAAACGATTTCCAGCTGCCTTCACGACCATCTGTGTTGAAATCAAAGGGACAAATGACAAAAGTTGTGCGATATGACGTTTTAACCAACGATGAACTTGATAACATTTTATCCTATTACAATGTTGACTGTAGTAGAAAATATTAACTACCACAATGTCTATGTTTCATTGCATGACGTACCTTGATTTGACGCCGCCTGTGGAGGAGCTTCGTTAAGATCTCCTGCTTGCCATCAGAATCAGCTGCAACCCATGTCGCAATGCTGAAACCTTCCAGTCCGCTCTTGAGCGCACTCAAGCTCATTGTAGCACTCACACCTGTGCGGACGAGCTTTCCAACTTTGATAGAAAATGGAAAATGAAAAATCAATTAAGTGTGGTAACATCATAGCTTTTGAAAACAAAGAGCGTCAAAAGCAATTGCTTATCGAGCATGAGATGTTACATTATCACAAGACAATGAATGGTGATACATGCAGTACTAAAAACAACATTTACAACAAAATCGATAGTGACAAAGAAAAAACACTAGTACCTGTCGTCGTGTCGAAAACCGCAACAACTGTATCTCGCGCGTCCGCATCCTGTGTCACATGCTCCAAGTCGCAGAGGTACCCGTCGTTGGTGAAGCACCATCCGACGGAAAAACAGCAAGGGAGGGCACCTTCTCCCGACGGCCTGAATGAACAGACCCACTCTGTAGTGACGTCGGTGCTGCGTATCTCCACGCGGAGTGCACATGTGATCTCTTGGCCCAAAGAGATCACATTCTCCTCCACGGCTCCCAAACTGTAAGGGAGTGGGGAAAAAGAAAGTGAACAAACGTACATATTAACGATATTTATACTGCATCTGTTGATCAGACATGACATTATCTTTACAGTTGACTAAGATGCAACGCAAACTTGATAGTAATTTATAACTTGCAATACATACGAAATGACGCTGCCGACGTCGGTTGGTGCTGTGAGAACAGGAGCCAGACTCCGCGTGACGGGCAACAACAGCATCATCAGTGACCTTGATAATCCTGGACCTGGCAGGAAAAAGTACAATATACATATTTGAAAGATAGTTGCGACTATATACATCATGTACGTTAACGTGTATCAACAACATCCATATTCAAGTCCAAACACTTGACTAATCAATAAGCACATGGTAAGACCGCTTGTACTATACCTCTTGGTTGTGTAAATCTGGGGATGCTCGACGTAGAGCTCAGTGATCCACAAGACCACTGGAGTCGATGTGAACGAAGTCCTGGTCACCTTTTGCTGCTCTGTCACAAACATGCGAATTTTGTCCGCAGATGAGCCCAACGCCGTCAAACCGAAGCGTCCGCTCTCATCACGAACCGAACACAGAGCGCGCAGCAAGAAACCAGGCTCCATCTTGGAGACCGTCAGCTCCACAATGAAGGATGAAACCTGTAAGTAATAAATACCAAAACAATGTACACAATACGTTATTACTGTATGAATATGAACGATGATGATAAACATACAAATGCGTGATAAAACAAAATAAGAAATAAGAGAACACATCTGAATTCAATATGACCTCATATTATGGAACAGAATTATGAGCTATGTTAAGTATAATGTCATGACGCGACGTGCACACAAACCTGACGACGTGTGGGCGGATCGGACGAGAACAAAGCATCCAGCCGCGTAGGAGTGAACACACTCAACGGAATGCTGTCCGCCTCAGCCGTCATGCGGGCATGCGATGCACGGTGCTCCCAGTTGAGCACGCCATCCAATATGCCAGCACAGTACCTGACAAGAAATGTTGAGATGACATGCGATATGATTAAAAGGAGACAAATAAAAAGAGCCTGTGATAATGGTTCGAATAAATTATTACAACTTCATCCTACCAACCCTATGCTCCCTCGAAATTCATGCTGTTGAGAACTCCATGTTGAAAAAATCACCGTTTTGCAAGCAACTTCGTAACAAAAGAAACTATACATTAGCATTGGCGGACGTGCGCGTCCCCTCAAACTCATAATCAGTTGTGCACTCAAACGGGTATCGCGAGCAGTTGCAAATGGTGGATAGGGAGTCCTTTGCGCTAGTTGCACAAACCCTCAACGTTGGTACAAAGCAAATGGTGCTTACATAGGCCAACATGTTTGTGTCATACGCCGCTTTCGCATGACACAAACAGTAGTTATAACATTGGCCATAACACAAGCTAAAATACGTCATAAATATTAGAAACCTGCAGACTATACTGTAACGAAGCAGCCTCGTGCTGCTGATAAGCGTATGTAAGACTTACATTGATTTTATAGCAAGTTACACTTTATGGTCAGCCTCATATTGCTACTGACCGCGTAAGTCATATCAAGACACTACACAACGAGTTTGTACAACATACTTGAACCAAATTGAATGGGGAGACGTAAAAACGAATGTTCTTAGGAAACAATATGATCAAGTTTTAAAAGCTTCCAGATGTTTTAAAGGCTCACCCTGGTTTCTTGGAGTAAACGCAGTGGACGGAGCAGATATCGTATGTGGCTCCCAAAACGAACTCCCCAAGTGTCTTGCAGCACTTGTCAATCGTCCATGCCGTCGGTGCGGCTGCGACTCAGGCCAAAACAGCAGCTCCATCTTATTCCCTTCTACATCCGCCACGTACAGCTTCGCAGGGAACTTGGCCGCATTTGGCTGATCAAGGTCTTGGGGTCGAACCCCAACAACCATTGCACGAACCATGAAGTTCAAAGGCTTTTGGGGTTTGAGCAAAACCTTCACTAGCGAGCTGAAGCTAGCAACCTTCGGCGGCTGTTCATTCATTACATCAAGACAAAGTTTTAAATGGAGAAGTGGAACCATGAGTTATTGAAATGATTAGTCATATAGAATGATGCACGAGAGAGCGAGGAAGAGAGAGAGAGAGAGAGAGAGAGAGAGAGAGAGAGAGAGAGAGAGAGAGAGAGAGAGAGAGAGAGAGAGAGAGAGAGAGAGAGAGAGAGAGAGAGAGAGAGAGAGGAGAGAGGAGAGTGGGGAGAGAGAGGGGAGGGCAAGTATGATGATGTGAGAAAATGTAGATGTTTACAAGATATGCATTGCATAGAATGTTTGTTGCAAAGTGTGTGAGGAAAAAGGTATGTATAACACAAAACATAGCATATTAAGCTAAAAAGATAGTGACGCAACACAAAACACAGCTTAAAGCGCTCTCACCTTTGCAAGCGTCTTCTCATTGTATGGAAGGCCACCTGTATGGAAAAGAATAATAGACATTTGTTTTTTATTTGATCAATAAATACACAGGAAAATGATCGCTGAAAAATGATTCACCAACAATAACTTCAGCGTCAAACTTAGCAATATCAAGCCAAACGTGATCAATAAGTGTATCCCGCACAGTAGTCGATGATTGGACGCACTGAGTCATACTTGCATCTTTCATTAATTGGACCAAACGCTTTGGCATTGAAACTTTGAAATCAAAATTGATGTCACCAATTATCATAATTTCTCCAGTCGAGGGAATAGCATCAAAGAGTGATCGTAATGATGAGTAGAAAGTTACTTGAGACGAACGAGGATTACGGTAAGCGCATATTACGAATGTATTTGGCATCGTAATGTATTCCAGGACAACAAACTGAATTTTATCATACACCTTGTGAGAAAAGACAGAGACGCGCTTATTATCGAAGGCCACAAGCATGCCACCAAAATCCGAATCTTGACGAAATACAGAAAAATCATTCAGTGCCTCGCCGTGTGTTTGTCCATATGAGAGGTGCGTCTCAATAAACACTATGAAATCAAACGATTTCATAGATGTCAGGTCATTAATGCAGTCCAATCTGAACTTGCGAACATTATGGAATGCAAATTTAGCACGTGCGGGACGTGATGCGATTATGTTAACAGGGACATGATTAATTGGTAAGCTTATCTTGCGCAGTCGTTCCATCTCTTTTACCACATCTTTGTGTAAAGTAATCGACTCTTCTGAGAAGTTTTCTAAAAACAAAGATTCTGAAGATCGAAATCTGCTTAAAGCAACGTATGCTGTGTGATGGAATAGACGACGTTGGAAGTGCACTACACCTGAATCAAACGTAGAACCTTGACTTATCCCATCACTCGGACGAAGGGGAAATTGTGATCTTGCTATTACATCATGCTTATTTCAACAAGACTAGGCAAGAATGATTGAAAGGAGAGGGATTTCACTAGCAGCAGTTGGGGTACATATAGCAAACCCTAACTGGGTTGTACTCGCTATAGAGCACCCCACTACAGGCTAGACAATAATAACATTCTGACACACCCCCATAGCCAAAGTGGGGTGTAATCAGTACAATGAGCAGGCATAGCAATAGTTCACAATTATAAGCAAAGCTAGAGGTGATCATAGAGGGCAAGTGAGGAGGAGGAGAAACTGTGAGGGCGAGAAGATGAAAGGCGCCGACTGAAGCTGCAGACACACGGGCAACAGGAGCGGCGTGCACAGTGGCTACCGAGCGCACGAGGGCACCGGACTACGGGAGTATCTGGCTCCGCGGCTACGACGAGCACACACAAGAGCAACGGACCCACAGGCGACTGGCGAAGCAGGCTCGCTGGGCTACCGAAACGCGCGAGGGCATCCGGACTACTGGCGCTGCTGGCGTCACGACGGCTACCTCCACGCAACCTCCCCCGACCGTCCCACGCCCCTCTCACACACCCCCTGCTGACACCCTAGCTCCACTTCCACGGCACCCCCCTTAAACCCTAAACCCTCGGCTCCCACACACCCACCCCCCTCAGCGGCAGCTGCAGCAGTGGGAGACGGAGGAGGAGGAGGAGCCGCAGGTTACCCACACCGGTCACCCCCATGCCCGCCACCCCCAAACCCTAACGCAGGCAGGAGCGCGGGAAACAGCAGGGGCGGGGCACGGAGGGAAAGGGAGGCAGCGGGGTGGCTCTTGGGCGCCACGAAGAAGCAGGGCGCAAGCCCCCCGAGGGCGCCACGGCGGGTGACGGGAGGGGGGCCGCGCACGGGCCCCCGAGGGCGGCTCGACGGGCGACGGGAGGGGCCGCGCGCGGGCCCCCTAGGCGCCGCGACGAGGCGACGGGAGGGGGCGGCGCGCGGGCCCCCAAGGTGCCGCGACGAGGCGACGGGAGGGGGGGGACGCGCGGGCCCCCAGGGCGCCGCGACGAGGCGACGTAAGGAGGACGACGGGGGGCAGCGCGCAGGTCCCCGGGGGCGCCACGACGGGCAGGAAACCGCCGCGCGCCTCGGGGCGCACGGCGGCGCCACAGCGCACGGCAGGAAGAAGACGGCGCGCGCCCGAGGCGTGCGAGAAGCAGAATAGCAGCGGAAGCAGTTAGGTGGCGGGCCCACCCACAGGATCGACCCAAGGGGGTCGACCTGCTCTGATACCATGTCAACAAGACTAGGCAAGAATGATTGAAAGGAGAGGGATTTCACTAGCAGCAGTTGGGGTACATATAGCAAACCCTAACTGGGTTGTACTCGCTATAGAGCACCCCACTACAGGCTAGACAATAATAACATTCTGACAGCTTACGATTGATGGAGAACTCCCTAGTTTGCCGAGTTATGGGAGTGTATCGAAAATCGCACACATTCCACGTTGAAAACAACTGACGATCTTCGTGCCGCATTCTCCTTCCCACACGAGCATCGTCAAAACACACCCATATAACAACAACCTCACCTGTCTCGTTTGTAGAAAATTGCTTAACAATTCCAGGTGTACCATTTGCAATCCCATCAGTGGTATCCACATTCACGACAACATGAACCTTACATTCAACGTACAAGTGCAAATAAGAAAACAAACCTCCCGTCTTTTTTGCATCGGGCGAAGCATACCTTGAAGGCTTTTTCTCACATCCTGCCGTTTTAACGAATAAATTTAGATCGTGCGCCGGAATAACATACTTCTCGTTTACAGAAGCCTCAAAAGCCTTCTCATTGTGAGCATCGATATCAATATTTCTACAAAAAATATGTTGCACTCCGGTTGAAACGTTGCAAGGTCTATTCAAGGAGGAGAAAAACTTAATGTCCTCGTTTGTGTGATGACCTTCTCGTAGGCGATTCAAACGTTCAGCAAAAATACGCTCATCTTTTTGACGCATAACGGTTGTAAGCTCGATCATTTGAAATGATCTCCAAACATTACCTTCAATATGTGTATTGGAAGACACCGAGTCCGTGAAACAATAGCGGTCAGCAACAGGAGGCAGTTGAAATAAATCACCGACAAGGATCATATGTAGCCCACCAAAAGGAATATGTTGTGCGCCTCGTAGCTCATCCAACCAATCAAACAAATGCTTACCGAGCATTGAGACTTCATCCACAACAACAACTTGAACATCGGCAAAACGAGACCGTAGCGTGTTTAGTCTATCTGACGAAAGGTTAAATAGAGCCATGTTTTGTGAGACAGGTATCATCAACGCATTATGAATCGTATATCCATTTATGTTAAATGCGGCAATACCGGATGGAGCCAATCTCAATACTTTTATTGAGCATGGCTTTGCATTTATAGATGCATTATACATTCGAGAAATGCATTCGGTAACAACGTTAATCAACATTGATTTACCGACACCTGCGCCGCCTGTTAAAAATATGCGTAATGGTTCCTTTTCAAATCGAATATGGTGTACAATGTGATCACTAACAGATCGTTGTTCGACATTTAACGATGACTCTAACTTCAGATATTCTGAGTCGTCAACTTCGATGTGGACAAAAATATCAGTAGCCTTCCGTTCCTCCGTGTTAATCTCAACAGCTAAATCCACTTCTTCGCCACTTTCGACTGATCTTGTAATGCTATCGGAGTGTCGCTCAATCTCATTTTGTTCGCCCTCTTTAAAAGCTAGCGCCCAAGTGTCTTTTCCTGTGCTGTATTCGGATTCTTTAGCATCAATAACGTCCTTATGGTTCTTATATGTTTCTACATAGTATGTTGAGTTTACTGGCTCATCCCTGAATGGGAAAAAAAGAAGAACACGCTCTCTTATATAATTGCACGGATCTTGTTCTTTACGATAATTGACAAATCGTATAATTTTACTTTTCTTTCGTCGATAGTAGTATCTCTTTTTCACGGACAAGTCTGTACCAATTAAGCCAACTTTGTCCATGGGGCTTGAAAACAGCGAAACCTCAAATTTCGAAGCGAAATCTGCCAAACAAGCAGATTCTAGAGCATCTGGTCTATCCTTATATCTCAAGTAAAACGTAAGGTTTGTATATGTTTGTGCTATCCGAATCTAGGTCTTGCAATTCTTGAAGCGTCTTCAAAGTCAACAATCGTTGAGAATGAGGAGCACTGTTTACGAACAGTACCTGTCGCGTTGACATGCGATATCGTAGTCCAAGAAGTATATAACAAGCCTCTTGCGCACTGATTTCTTGCGAATTAAGCATCGCATTACCAAGACATCGCAACATCGTCTTAATACCACCTTTTTGTATTCTTGCCTTCTCCATGGCTTGTTGCATCATGACGCTCATTCCTTTGTTTGCCTTTGTCATGTAAGAAACAATGTATGCAGCAACGCTTATGGATCGATGCACAGTTGAACGTCCATGTTGCCATGCCATGCGCGTAGAATGGTTGGATTATAATTGTTAATAAAAACATCGCTCACCTTTCGTTGGAGAACAAGTGTAATACGCTTAAGAGTAAATCGTATTACCATTAAATATTCTGAAAATGAAATTCCTATGTTCTTTAAAAATGAATCAAACGTATCACAACAAATTGGCGCTACCTCCAGACGTCCCTTTATAAGACTCAGATGACTTTTGATTTTCTTCTGTTCTTTTTCTGTCAATGTAGTAGAAATAGGATGTAAAATCATTGTAGATGGGAGCGGAAACCTTGGAAACCCAAATCTACACTTCTTGCCGCTGGCCGACCGACGTTGGCATGACCGGGAATGCTTGTGAGTTTGTAAGAGCAGTAGTTGAGAATCCAATCCTTCAGACGATAAACTGATATGTTGATCTGCAAACTTTATGATATCAGCTGCAGAATCCACATCAGTATCTTTAGCCGATTTGCTCCAAAGAACTGCATGAGTATGTGGCGCACCTCGATGTTGAAACTCGTCCAGTGCAATATAATCATGAATACCTCCTAAGACGGAGGAGGTCGCATTAAGTAGCCTTGAAAACAACGCCTTCTTCCTGAAGTCGTAATACCGAGCGCACGTTCTCAGAATAACTAGGCAAGAATGAATGAACTAGCAGAAGTTTGGGTACAAATATGAAACCCTAGTTGGGGTTGTACCCCATATTGGCTACCCCACTACAGCCTACCAACATATAACACAATACAATTTAACACACCCCCATAGGCAAAGTGGGGGAGAACAAAGGGT